CCTCCCGTCGACAACAATTTTAGAAAGTTTCTCCGGGAAATTTCGGGTACAATCCGAAAGTCGGGCAAATTTCTTTCCGCCCCCCTAATTTTTTCCTTCCCGTACGCCCAAGACACTGCTTGTTCCCAGTTGTTGCAACAAGTTTGGAACAAGCTGTTAAAAAACTTATTAACAAGCTTGATGGCATTATCAGACTTGTTACAAGGTTGTTCTAACAAGTGCGATTCCGGTGCAGCGCTCTAACCAACGGAGACCAGCTAAAAGCTACAGAAGCCAGTTGTCGAGCTGTTGTTCTTGCATATAAAGAGTAAATTCTGATATTTACCCATACACCCCCGTCGGCCCTTCACGATGTTTCTATGAACAGTCCTGACGGATTCAAGTTCCGTCAGGTTCTTCAATAACTTTACCTCTTAAAAACGTTGTTCCGAGCATTTTTTCACGGTTGACCCGCTTCAAACTACAAAAATTTCCCCAAAATTACACTGATTCGTTATTTTGTCTCACCACGAGTTTTACACAGAGTACACACGTAAAAATCTCACAACTCGTCAACAACATGTATTCGTAAAAGGCTTGTGGCAGGCTTGTCAACAAGTTGTAACAATGCTGCTATTTTATCAAATTGCTATTGTTGACAAATTGTTGAATTGCAGGACGATAATGACAAGTTGCAGGGACGCCGGAACGATGTGAAGGCAAGGGGGGGGGGAGATTTTAGTGAAAGGGCACTTTTGAACTGCATGATTGATATATACTAAGAGATGTTTGCAAAACATCGGGAGTTGAACTTCGCCTAATCATGTTTTCTTTGTATTGGGTGAAAGGCGTGTGAAAGGGTTCTCCGCCAGGCGATTGTGCTATTCTTGAAGCTCGCGATGACTGCATTTCTTGCGTTTTCTGAAGCAAATTCGTAAAAGAATTTGCTAAGGCAATCCTTTATGTTGAAAGGGCACCTTTGCCCCCCTTGCCCCTCCTGGTAAAGGGCAACGGGGGCGGCTGCCCCTCCTCCCCCCCCCCCCAGTTCCGGCATCCCTGAGTCAAGATGTTGGACAACTTGTAGGAAGTTGTCAAGAAGTTGACAAGCTGGGAACAAGCAGTGCGAACACATCCCGTTGACAAGTCGTTGGAACAGCATTGCTACCAGTCTGCTGCAGGTTTGTTACAACTTGCGCGTTTTTACGTGTGTGACAAAAGAACACATTTGGTTCGACTCAATTATGGACATCCCAAGCCGTTCATCTTAAAATCATTTCATGCATGACATCATGGAGTCGTGGACCAAATTGAAACAGTTTCTACAATATACGCCACTTTTTAATTATAGAGCAAGTTCAGACGAGACGAAAGCAAAGCCAACTCAGGAACATGTCAAGTATAAACATATCTCGGATAACGACGACGCTACGGATTTGAGAGCTGATCCTTTTAAATTTAAGTCTCGCTCTATCGATGAGATTCTAGACGATATAGGTTTGAGGTTATTTCATTTGAAAGTGATCCTAATATTTGGCTTACTATGCATGATAGAAGCTCTTGAACTTTCCACGTTATCAATCATACTTCCAAGTATAAAATCACACTGGAATATCTCGTCGTTCCTAGCTGGAGTCTTAACATTATCATTATCAACAGGAGTGATAGCGGGCTGTTGGTTTTGGGGCTGGATATGTGACAAATACGGACGAAAACGTGGTTTTATTGGCAGTGCCACTTTTATAGTGGTTTTCGCATTTGCAAGTGCGTTTTCACCAAACTATTACTGGTTATGGATAAGCCTTTTCTTGGTCGGGTTTGGGTCAGCAATTGCAGTTGAGACTTTTGTTATGACTATGGAATTCTTCCCACCAAAATATCGAACTATGTTTTCGGTATTAATCTCCGTATTCTGGACTTTTGGTTTTCTACTTTCAGCAGTCGTATCCATTGAGCTTTCGGTAATCGGCTTTCATTGGGCTTTAGCTATCGTGTGTTTTCCAACCGCACTTTTCCTTATTGGCATTGTATTCCTCCCTGACACGCCACATTACCACCTAGCTGCCGGAGACGAGCAGAAAGCTTTGAATATTTTACAAGATTTTGCACCAGAAATGGACTTGAGCAACACAAAACTTAACCGAGATCACGAGTCAAAGGTCCGGGCAGATTTCACACAGCTATTTCGATCAGGTTATTGGAAAATCACAATATGCCTTTTTATCTTTAGTATCACCAATATAATGACGTTTTACGCATTAGTGTATACAGCATCTAACATGGCGGCCGCCAGCAGTGAAAAGTCCGAAAATTGTACGTCTACGATAGGTGGGCAAGAAAATTACAAACAAGGTTGTTCGAATGGTGATTTGTATTCCATACTGGCTTGGATGAATTTGCCTGAGTTGGTGATAAAAATTACAGTTGCTGTAGGGTGTTGTATTTTTACTGTGAAAAATGTTATACTAACCCTACTTGTCCTGCCAACAATACTACAAATTGTTGGCTTTTTTATCCTAAACCAAAGGACTGCATTACTTGTAGTCACAATACTATCTCGAAGTCTACTCTCAGGATCGGTTACTATGATGTATGTCTATGCTTCGCTGCTCTACCCGACTGAAAACCGTAGCATTGGCGTTGGAGCTTGCGCTTCTATCGGTCACGTTGGTATGGCCATAGGACCGTTGATATTTGTGATAGTCTTTGAGCAAGCGTATTTCTACGGAATTGTGTTTATTATTGGCATGTTATTGTTAGGATTTATAGCTATTGCCCTGTTGCCTTCACGAAGTAGCGCCATACTATAAGTTGAGAAAACTAGAACGTTGAATTTCACGCACGAGTGTATTTTTCGAATCACTATTCGAGTGTGCCACTTCCAGTTACAAGTTAGCGCTGTATAAAACCACAGAGTAAATACCATATGCATACAGAGGTCCACGGGCGTACCGGAAGGAAAAAAATAGGGGGGTGGAAAGAAATTTGCCCGACTTTTCCGGATTTTGCCCGACCAGTACCGAAAAAATTTTTTCCTGAATTTATTTTGGCGACAAAAAAATTTCGATCAGTGTACCATTTTAGGGGTCAAAAAATTTTTCCGACATACCAAAATTTTTCGGAACATCACACAAATTTTCGAAACGTCACAAAATTGACCACAAAATTGACATAATTTGTCCCATTTATTTTTATAATAAACCAAAATTGCCCGACTGTTGACCGAATATTGCCCGACTGCCCAACAAACTGGGGGCCCCCGCCCGGTACGCCCATCCAGAGGTCTCACTTATTAACTTTGTTTCAGTGAGCGTTAGAAGGCGATTTACACCATAGGCAGCCCAGTAAATATATGTATTCATTTAAAAATGCTCAAACATTTATACTAGTTTGCCATATTGGGCGAAGACGAACCCAATAATAGGTGTTTTATTATATCGAACAAAACAATTCTGCAACAAAAAATGTCCATAGTTTGAATTTTATTCATTACACTAAATTAAGTTTATTTACATATTTCATTCTATCTCAGTCTATTAAGCGTGATTCTGATATATGATAAAAAAATAGGATCGAGTTGTATATTATCACGTTCAAATACACAATGTATGTACGCATAGGGATTCTGGCTTAATGAAATACTAAAATTCAACGATACATTAAAACATTGTTCGCTAAAAAAAATTAAATAAAGTGGACAAGGTGGAACCTTGATAAATACGTTCAAAAGGCTAGAATACAAATTGTCTACCTACTGTATATATTGTATCTTTTGTTGAGCCTATACTATCTAGTCATACTTTGAGGTCAGTGCCATTACCCCAATTCTGTGGGGAAGAAGCATTGGAATGAATATAACTGGAACGCTACATTCAGACACGCGCGTCTGGGGTCAAACCCGCGTGTTTCTATCATGATTGACTGATTGAGCGCTCTTCGCATGCGTGAAAAGACTGGGTCTGGCCTTCAAGTTTGGATTCAAATTTCCAGTTGGAGGTAGCGTTCCAGTTATATTCAGTTCAATGGGAAGAAGTAATTTCGCTGACGTCAATGTTAGCGGTCATTAGCAATAAAAATGTACTCGTTACCAAACTCTTAAGTTTTCAGTAACGGTCAATGGTACTATGGGGAATCCATAGTTTACAATACATAGGTCCCATGATTTACCTGTGCCTGACCGTGATCAGGGTAACTGGGCGGTTTTGAAGAGCCATTCTGAGAGTGTTCGGGCTTTTCATGGGTCTCGTTGGTTTCAGGTGACTGTTCTCCACTCTTTTTAAAACAGCAGAGATTCTGGCGAACAAAATAGATTACTTTCTTGACGATCCTGTCGTACGGTTCCAGAGAACGTAGCCATACTGGGGCCCACTCCCAATTCTGTAGAACAGTGGGCAAAACGTGTGGCGCTTTGCTTTGTAGTATGTTGATGACGATGATGGTAATTATAACCAACACAATCTAAACAGACAAAATATGAAAATATGGATATAAATAAGGTACACACGTACAAATCTCACAACTTGTCAGCAAGATGTGCTCGCAACAGACTTGTAGCAAGGTTGTAACAACGCTGTTATCACAACTTGCCGAGAAATTGTTGAATTGCAAGGGCTGCCCGTTTGTTCAAAGCTGCTGCGTTAGTTTAACCCTAGGTTAACTTAAAATTCAAAGCAAACTTCTTCACAGCTTGTCTATAAATTTGGAAATATTTCCTCGGAGATCTTGTCTGGATCGATATGAGTTTACTTCTTTGGACGTTTTGAAATAAACAGACGTGTAGAAATACACAAACTAAAACAGCATGTTAAATTTTAACCCACGGTTAGTGCTAACTCACCTTTGAACAACTGGCCCCAGGATGATAACAAGTTCCAGGTGATCTCGTGTTCGTATTTTAGCCAATCAGCGCTCAGAAAGGGTTGTCCGAATAGAAATCCATTTTGATGTATTCAGTCAATTATATCTTTCGTTATTCTTTATGAAACGAGTTGAAATTTTGTAATTATGTTTGGTTATGAGAACTATAGCTCTGACAAAAATATGGAATCGAAATAAAGTATATTACAGGAGATGTTCAGTTGTTTTAATCATAAAATGGATTTCTATTTGACAACTAGTGCCAGTACTTTTCCGCGTATCAAGATCACCTGGTTGTTGGTACAACTTCGTCTTCTCCAACTTAGGGCTGCCATATTGCTTTTGTTTTTCCCGCGCATGCCGCCAGTGGGAAATTATTGGAGATTGGACTGAGCGTCGCAACACCAGCGAGGGAAAATCGGCCGTAATGAAAAACAGCCTTTATATCTGATAAAGCATTCCTGCTCGTATTTTAAATAGTACATGAAACTAGATATTACTTACCGGAACTCCAATTCCGACGAGAATCTGCCATCCAGCGACAGACAAGCCCAGTACGAGAGCAGGAAATACGAAAAACACAATAACCAAATACATAAAAGCAAACCAACGATACTTTGCTGTTGTATTACCCAAAAACTTCGCTCCTTTTATAGGAATCTTTCTCATAAAGGGCAGCGGATACCAGATTGCAATTCCAGAAATATTAAAGAACAGATGGCACAGGGCAATCTGTAAAGACTCACGAAACTTTGAGGTTGCAGCCAGGGCGGCCAGAATCGAAGTTACTGTGGTACCAATGTTTGCCCCCAGTGTGAGAGGGTAGGTTCGATCGATGGTGACCACACCGATTCCCACCAACGGAGTTAACGCTGACGTGAATATAGAACTGGACTGTACCAGCATAGTCATCCCAGCTCCCAGGAGGATTGCTACATAACCAGTAAACCATTTGAATGGTTTTGGGAAATCTGAGTTGATTCCTTTTTTTATGATCTGAGCAAGAGAAAAAAGGAAAATGGTTATGTTTTTTATACTGTGGAATATTTGGTTTAAACAAATTTTAAGTAAATGCATGCTATGGTATGGTTTAATATGAGGTAATGTGGTATGGCATGGTATAGTAAGGTAAGGTAAGGTATGGTATGGTATATGGTATGGTATGATATGGTGTAGCCTGATATGATATGGTGTAGTGTGGTATAATCATGGTATAATGTGGTGTGGCATTGTATGTTTGGTATTGTATGGTATGGTATGGTAAGGTACGGTATGGTATAGTACGGTATGGTTCTTTGAGGTATATAGTATGGAATGGTATGACATGGTATCATTGGTATGGACCATAACAGACATGACAAAGCATGCCACACCATTCCAATTGGTATTGTACGATACGATGTAATATGGCGTGATATGGTATGGTATTGGCGATTCGATATGGTGTGGTATATGGTATAGCCCAGTGTATTATATAGTACATAGTTTAACATGGTACAATAACCTAATCTAACCTTGGCAATCTGTCCTTTCAGCATTGAATGAAGCAGTTTGACAATACATGCCAGACAAACACAGAGAATGATAAGAGCAATTGCCAGTAAGATGCCTCCAACCTCCTTGTCACTCATCCCCGTGTCATGGAACAAAAATTCATCACAAACCTTTTTGGTCGAATTAATTTTAGGAGCACAACTTTTGATCAAACTTTTATCACCTATAATGGGACAGACGTAAAAAAAATTTACCTCAAAGTGTGCCATTCAATCGGGCGTCCTCTAACGAGGATAAGAGTTGAGAAGCGAGAGTTTGCATGAGAGCTAATTCTCAACTCTCGTATCCCAGTCAAACGAGAACAAGAGTTGCATGAAAGTTGACTGGATATTACAGGGTCGGATTAACGTTTCGCGGGGCCCGTGGCATATTATAAGCGTGGGGCCCCTTGAACCCCCTAACGACATTTTAAAATATTATTAGAATATCATCAGCATAACCATTAAACTTGGATGGTTATGACGTTCAATATCATCGGCATAACCATTCAACCTAGATGGTTATGGCGTTGAATGTCATCTGCATAACCATTCAACTTAGATGGTTATGCCGTTGAATATCATCAGCATAACCATTCAACTTAGATGGTTATGCCGTTGAATATCATCAGCATAGCCATTCAACTTAGATGGTTATGCCGTTGAATATCATCAGCATAACCATTCAACTTAGATGGTTATGGCGTTGAATGTCATCGGCGCGGGGCGCCCAAAAGCGTGGGGGCAGTGGCATATGCAACTTCTGCCATATGGTTAATCCGGCACTGGGATATTACCAAACGTGCGTAGCGAAAAATCTTATCAACTCTCATCAAAATTTGAACCAGCTCAAAGTCGATGAGAGTGCATGAAAGTCGATGAGAGTTGACGGTCAAACGCGAGCTAGAAGATTTGCAACTCTCATCCTCTTTTGACCGAGGCTTAAAGGATCAATGTCACCTGGTGCGCATCTTTTCTGCGCACGCAAACTTGAAAAACTACGGCATCCATTATGGCGGATTCGCGAGGCGGATTCACAAATTCTATGCAAAAATATGCATAGTTTCGTACCGTAGAAGACTACGAGAGAGTATTTTAGGCACCGAACAATTTCCGACAATTTTCGAAATTGTTATGCGCAGAAACGATGCGCACCAGGTGACACTGCTCCTTTAAGTTAAGTTTGGTAAAAGTGTACTTTTTATCGAATCCGCCATACTAACCTATATCCTCGCCTTCCGCGATTTTTTGAATCAACTTTTTGTCAATTTGTATAACAATGTTGGTGAAAGGTTTGGTGATTTTTTTCAATAGTTCGACCTTTTCCCGTTCCCCTTTCTTGAGGCCTAGGGAGTCTGTGATCGCCCCGCTAAGGTGGTACAGGTAGCCCGAAGCAGATTCGATAGGCAGGAGGATTACAACGCTCAGCCAGTTGAACACATCGTGAACGGTCGCCCCTGCGAAGGCTCTCCGAAACTGGTCCCGATCACTGGCGTGTCCTGCCGAAACGATGGTGTTTGTGACGGATGTGCCGATGTTCGCTCCCATGACTATTGGAATGGCTTGGCGCACTTCTAGAACTGAAGGATAGAAGGAATGTTAGGGTTACATGGGCCTCAGTGGGACGAAATTACGAAAACATGACGCGCCTTCGAAATATCTTTTGCTATGAACACACAATGATTTTATCAGCATTAACCGCAACCTCGTACCGAGGAGAGCATGCCCGTTATAGCAGTACGAGATTGCATTAATAACGACATGCGCATCTCATGTTGGAACTAATCGTTTTTCGCTGGTGTCGTAAGCTACGTTTACACGCTGCGATTTGTCGGGCCGATTTTGGCAAATAAACGTTGCCCCTTCTTCGACATTTAGCGATTTAAACGTTCAATTGAAGCTGTCCGCTCTCTCGTCTGTTCATATTATAGTTTTCTGCGTGCGAAAAGTTTTCAACAGTAATAAATTTACGTGGTGTTTCCACAAACAAAACCATTATATTTTATCGCCATGCAAACATACAAAGAACTTAGTTTTCAACAACTTTACAACGGAAGAAAAATCGTTGTATCGTGAGAAAAATCTGTGCTTTGCTACTGATTTTTCTCCCGATTTTGTGAATCGCAAGGCGCTGACGTCGCGAGTGCTCACGACAAGTTATTTACATACAGCGAGCAAAATTGGCCCGACAAATCGGAGCGTGTACTCGTAACTTAACTGCTCACGACTACTTACTTCCGGAGGAAACCATAGCAACCACGATGGAGGTTGACGTAGACGAACTCTGGACCAGAACAGTTGCCAGTAGACCAATGACGACGCCAGCGACAGGATTTGAAAGAACCGATTTTTCCGTGAAGACCTCGCCAGCTTTCTTTCCACCCAGGAGACGAAATGCAGAGCTGAGGAAACTCAGCGAGCAAATGAAGAGATACAACAGCCCCAGCAGAAGGGCGATCTTTATGAAAGCGCCTAGCACTCGTAGAGCTTTGCCTCGTGATGTCAATTCTATAAGTGAGAGAAATATAGATGAATTTTACCATGTATTTTCTTGACCACTATGAAAAGAGGGCTATTTTGCTCTATGGTGTCATCGAGTTTAAAAATCTTTATATAAAGTTTTGAATAAATAAAAAATTTCAAGAACTTATCGAATGACAGAATTCTGATAAATGTAAAGAAATTCTCGAAATGTGTCTTTTTTTAACAGATTTAAAATTTCCACTTAAAAGTTATAAATATAAAGTACTACTTAATTAAGCTTTAAAGAAGATATTGCAATAATTGGAGTATATATTCTGGAATTCGTTTTCACTTAATCAGTAAAACAAGAAAACAATTAGCCATTTCCCAAAGTCCTGAGTCTAGTCGCGCGAATCCCATGTTGGAGGGACAAGAAATATGGCAGCACACATTTAAATTAAATGTTTAATGTAAATGTTTAATGTAAAAAGGGGATATTTCATTTCTGGTCGTCTAAAAAGTTGATATTTGATAGTAGACACTTCTACTCTTTCACGTATTTGACGCCTGTCACCATATATTTTGTCCCTCCAAACGATCCAAGAATGCACTGTGATCTCTTTTGGGGCTAATTAAGACCTTCTTTCAGTAATAATGTCTGCCCACTGGCACTGTACTTATAATTCCTTTCACATGCATATATGGATCATATTTATTCATTTATTTTGTTGCGTAAGAACATAGTTTTCCGGTGGCGCCATATGCCACCCTCAAAGGCCAAAGTCAAAGATCGATCCAAACTGGCCAAGATTATCAAGTTACTGAAAACATATACAATAACATGGTTTAGTCTTTAAATTCGCTGTCAAAAATATTCCCTTTAGTCAGGCCTTAAAATATCGGTCGGTCACGGACATTGTCCGACCCATTCGTGAAATTGTCCGACGTAGAAAGGAAACCACCGGACATTCTGTCCGACCTAAGTGAAACTGAGGTTTATTGTTTGTCCGACCTGACTCACCCGAGTGTATTGGTGTCCGACCGAACTGTAGCTTTGTCCAACGTAAATCAAAATGTACCCTAGCCCAGGACAAGAAACTTGTGTGTTAAATGGAAAATCAGAGTACTATTGTATAAAAGGTCAACTGGAAATGTTGTTTTAACGTAGTCGAGCACGGGGCGGCGAGCGAAATGGTGAAGTGGAAAACAGGCTTAAGTTGTCGAAGTCTTTTTGATACTGCTGTTCTGGAAAGCAAGTTAATTTTGGCTTGGAAATAAGTATGAAAGAAACAAATTATTTAATATTTTTACAACATTTACCGTTTATTCATTTGGGTCATTCAGACTTATTTCCGAGTCAAAAATGAACTGAAGGTCATCGGACATATGTCCGACCCAAACTCAACGTCACCGTACATTTTGTCAGACGGCCCTGGAAAAGATATTTTAAGGCCTGCCTTTAGTGAGTAGAGGGGAGGGAGAGAGGGACAATCATTCTTATACTTGTACTTGAATTACGAAGGGTGCAGTCCAACCGATCAAATTGAAGGTCTTCCAAGGGTGCCTCTGCCTCTGGCAGCCAGTACCCTTATGACTCATGTCTAATCACAGTCACAGAGCACAGCCACAGTGGATGGGTCAATTCCGGGCTTATCCCAACCCACCTCACGATCTCAACACTCCCTGTGAGAGGAAAGCGTAGTATCCGAAGAAAACTGGCTCCCGCCAGCCTGTCACTTGGCATCTCTGAAAGATTTTGCAATCATGCTCCTAATTCTTTTCGTCTGTGGAGGCGGGAAAAGCTCAGGTTCCTATAACTATCGTCTTCATAACTTAATGTTAAATAAGAGTGCTGCTTTCCGGTCGCAATATTACACTCAAAGGACAAAGGACAAAGTCAAGGGCAACACTGATCATTGTGTTTGTATCAAGTGTTTCAGATCGTTTCAGATGACATTGTGTGCCAATATCACTATGTCATTAAACGAAATAAATGACTGTTTAATCAATATCCGTAAATCGTAGAAATATTTCGTCTTGATTCACATAATTTTTTTCGACAGTCGGGGATAACGAACAATAATCAATGTCGCCAATATACTAAGATTTGGAATTAATCTTACATAAAGGATAAAAATGAATGTGAAGATATTCTTACAGATAGTTAATATGTTACTTATTTAGTTAGATAGTTAGTTAGTTAGTTAGTTAGTTAATTAGATAGTTAGTTAGTTAGTTAGTTAGTTGGCTAGTTAGATAATTAATTATTCAAAATGTTTAGGAACAAACTTTCCCTAAGTCTCATGTTAATAGTATATTTTGTGTTCAATATATAGACCACAGTAAGACTTTTTTTAAATGTTTATTTCATTAACAAAACCTGAAGATGGAGTAAATCTCCGAAACGTCGTTTGTTAATGAAATAAACATTTAAAAAAAGTCTTACTGTGGTCTATATATTGAACACAAAATATAATTAATTATTCAGTAAAGTTTTCTTATAGGTTAAGGTGGTGGGTATGAAGTGATCTGTTAAGTTGATGCCGATCTCGATGAAAAATTATCACTGATGTTTCAATCATGATTCATGACAAATTACAATGGTTGCAAATATGAACTATTTTGAACACAATACGATATCCAGGTTTTATTTAAAGGATTTAGTGAAGAATTTCTTGTTCAGCTGGACATTTAACCAGCTCAGCTGAAGATTCGATCAGTCCCACAGCTGAAGTCTTTAGCCGGAAGCTGATTTGCATATTACGATGCCGTACTTGTGTGCGTGATTTTACACAGTACAACTCCCCCAAGGTAAATTCAAGGTAAAATTCAGGTTAAAATTTTGACATTCTCAGTAAAGTAATTATTTTTGTGAAATGATAACCATTATTGTAAAATACAGTCGATTTACATCGAATTTGCTTTAGAACAGGAATTTAGTATGACAACGCAAATCAATCACAAAAAGCTTTATTACAATTATTACACTTCAGGTAAAATCCTCCGGATTCAAATTTCAGGTAAAATCCTCCGCCCCCCCCCCCAACTTCAGATGCTTCGCCACGTAGGTCTCTAATTTAATACTACACCGGCGACTCTCCAGGACACGTGAATCCTGATAACCTTGCAAGATACTGTCGATCTAAATTATAGATTGACAGATTCGCCAGATAGCCTTGTATCAAAGTCCAAGGGTATTTTAAATCGCCGCTTACAAAAAAGCCTTCAACACCTTTTCAACACGAGTGAAAGACCGATAATGCAATATTTAAGTTATGCGTAGGTTTACAATGTACTCATAACGCTTTCATCTCTGAGAAAAAAAGTATGTCTAATATATGAGGACACATACGAATGAATTTTCTGTCGCAAAACACATTCAAATGGCGTATCGATTACAGATTTTTTTATATTGAAAACATAAGCCAGGTTCGATTTCAAAACAGTACGCTTGTAAAACTGAGCAATTTTTATAGATCCTGGCGAACTTTTGTTTTGAAAAAATTATGTAAATATTGTTCTAATGAGTTTTCGAGTATAACAAACCCAACTGCTAATTTGGTAAAGTAGCAAATCTCAAGTTGCAAAGGAATCCATTCGAGTATTTGTTATGTAAGTAATCATAGCCGAGTGTGTATGACAAAAACATACAAATGAAAAACATACACCCCCATCTTTAATATTGTTTTGGGTATCAGAACTCAAATTCATTCAAATTTTTATGGTCTCATAATGAATGGTTATTAGGGAAAACAAGCCATTATAAAATATAACTACAATTTCCCTAATCCGGAGATTAAAAGGTCTCTGTGCGCCTGTAGGCGACTAAATAGTTGCCAGTGGGTATTCAGAAATTAAATCCAGACAGTTCAAAATCTTAAATTGCGCTTTGCTGGCTTTTAAATGCCCTATATGCTAGTATGGCATTAATTTTTTTTAAATTATATATTGGCATTGAAGCTCATATCTGAGTGCTTCGGCTTATTTAGATACATAATCCATTGCATCGAATCAGTTACTGATTGTACGTATATAATTTTAAACAGATTTTCTGAAATTGCAAAATCTGGCGATTCCATTTTTCTAGTCTCGTTTCCGCGCGTTTTTAAAATCTATTAAAAATAATTAAAACCAGGCAATATGAAATTAATAGTATCTCACCGCTCCAAGGAATGCCAGTATCAGTTAATTCGGGCAGACTCCACGGATCGATCTCTTCTTCTTTGAGATCCTTATTAATCTGACCATTTATTTGACCATCTACATCAATCACAGCTGAATCGGGTCGAGGTTTTTTGACCCCGTTATCGGCGCTCAATTCATCAATTGAAGTATGCTATAAACACAAACCAACACAGATTATTAACGATTATGCAAACAATTTGAATACACTCAAGTCCAAACACAATCATACATACATAACCGCGGTTCTCTCTTGGCAATCCTTGAAGTTCCATAATATCCGTTGGTTCTTTTTGGAAGAAGCTATTGCTGTCAAGACCGACACTTGATGAGTGACGGAAAATTGAAGCGCTCGAATTTTTTTTAGCAAAATTATGCCACGCACGAAGCACGTGAATCACCCACTGTGCGCTTTCTGATTGGTGAATCACGATCATCCTACCACGTGCCCGGAGCATGATACTTGGACTCGTAATGCATGGCTGGTGCGTGATTTGCAGCGATTTGCAAGGGATCTGTGCTGGTGGTCAGTGCATGTGCTTCAGTCACATCTGTGGCCAATGTCATCAATGTGGTAATAATTTCCCTCAGGATTTCTCCTGGTATTCTGGTTTCAACCTATGGTATACACTTGACCAATAAGGAATTACCTTTACTGGACCTCTGTCTCTGAAAGCTATTCAGTATAAATATAGCTATAGTTTAGATCGTGCGGCACAAACTAAAGCGACTCAATAAAAGCCCCGTAAAGATGTTTTCCTTGACAAGTTTACCTTCTCGCGTGTCAGTCAACAAGACATGTTGTTAAACATTTAGTATTTACTCACGTCAAGGTCGCATTTTGTTTGGCAAAACCATAGAAGACTTATTGTAGCGCTTGCCAATTTTTCCTTGGTGGTCGTACACTCGTACACGCTAACAAATTTACCTTGTCCAAGAGCAAGCCTCCTTGACCTTGGCAAGAAAAAATTGTCGTCATTTTTTTTTGCCCTGCACACGAACAAATAAGGAGTAATTTACACATGTCAGACGGCGATGTCAGGACGACGACTAAACAAACTCGCTTTGACATAAATTATTCGGTATGGAGATCTTGTCTTGTAAACGAGTAATCCAACGAGTAAAACAGAGCTTTAACCTATTTAGCAATTTTGATCGATTCTGGGTCTCTGCTAGAAAAACTATCTGTCATGGCTTGAAATTCTGGCGTACTATACGAAACATGAAAATACGCCAACTTTGCCGTTTTCAACAGAGTTTGGACTACGTCCAAAACCCCTGCAGGGCCGGTTGTATAAAAAAGTGATTAAAGTTAACTATAGTTAAGTGGAAACGTCATCCAATAAGAAGCGCGTATTTGAGAGTAGGCGTATATAGCCTATAGGATTAATGTCATTGTATTGATAGCCGTCTCCCTAACAAATATGGTTTTAATACACTACCAAAGTTTCTGTGAGCACAGGCACAGTATAGAATTTTACATATGTAACTGATTCTAAGTTTTGAAGCATTTGTAACGGAAATGTTTGAAAGAACTGATTCAGTGTTTAACACTTCCTCAAACATTTCGTACAATCCTTCATCATCGAACTTATCCATGCAAAATTCCTACTGACAGTACTGTGTTCACAGAAACTTTTTGATAGTGTAATAGAGCGGTTTCAAGATTTTTCTGAAATAGTGTGTAAAGTGTAAACTATATGTTTGAAATCCAGATTTTCTCTCTCGCAAAGCAAAGATTTTCACGGCACGAATAAGCCAGGCCGAACAACCGTTCGGTCAGCCGTCAAAAAAAAATCCCGTCATTATATAATGTCCTTCGTGTTGTAATTTAAAAGATGAATTATAAGGCTGAAAGAACAAACACTTCAATGTCATTCAAGCAAAATATGTCGGCCTAATTGAAAATTCCTACAAACACGTGTAAAGCGCGCTCACAGTCATAGCAACAATACCTAATTTGGCAAATTTGCATAGTGGTCTTTTCGAGTCGGATTTGGTATAGATACAATATATACTTAGAAGTCTTAGAATGTTGTTCATTCCCATGTCCTGTACATTAAACTTAGAGTGTTGCTAAGGATACTGCCAAGCAATGTTTAAGGAATAAGGACATTGAGCATGATATCCTTGATAATCTTATATTGCCACTATGCGGTGTAAGAGTCTATTTATAAGCAGTGACGATATGAGCCGTGTGAGTCTTGTCTTGGCCACAGAGTAATTACATAGAGAAGTCTCACTTCTGCGGGATAGATGATTATTATCTATTTGCGCACTTTTGTCAAATGATTCTATTCATCTATTTATCCCTGAGACTGTGGCACTGTGCTGAATTAGAGTACATTCATGTCACAAAATATAACATGAAGTACGCAAAACATCGCGGGCGCTTTGATACAAAATGTCAAAATTTTCAAACAAAATGTTGCAAAATATGAACAAATTCTCATAATTTAATATTATTAGAATTTGTTAACGCGCAAGTTTACGGTGCGCTAAATATTTTATTGTGGAATTCATTGAACCTCACTATTATGTCAGATAATTGGCCTACAAATGATACAATGAAATTTCCAAACTACAGAATTTTATATTTTGTACCAAATATTATAGGTAAGAAATAAATATATTGTTGTTAAAGTAGCTACCATATTAATGCACGTATCAGTGTAAATCCCAGGGGAGGGGGTTGCGGGCACAGTGGGCAAGGGGAGCGGGGGGTTTGACAAAAAATTCAAATTTTTAATCAAATGTCTCAAAAAAATCCAAACTGGGGTCAGGATTGTTGGTAGTGTTACTAGTGTAATATGTGGATTTAATCTACAAAACCCGGAACAACTTTGACCATTTATAGTCAAATACCCCCACCCCCAGGATCACATTGATGTTCAAATTCCTTACAGCTGGGGTAAGCGTTCAAGGAAATGCCCAACATCTGCCTGCACCCACCTCCCCAGAATTTACCTTGGGGGGGGGACCATAGCAGTTGCTGCCAAAAATTCCAGATTAACCCATGTTGCATATATATATAATATACAACTATGTACTAACCCTCCCCCAATTTGAACCCCCTCCCCCCCAATGTCTGTCAATGACTGTAAAAGTATATTTGCAATTACAACTGTAATGTTCTGATTTTTTTATCACCAGGATATGTTCGTATCATTCTATTGGTTGCATCTTGGATACATATAGACAGTGATCCAAAGTTATTTGTTGTGCTTTATGTTGCTTCTGTTGTTTTGGATGGTGTGTAGAATTGGTTAAACACTTATGACAAAATTATGGCAATTGAAACATACTATTAATGCACTATTTAGGAATTACCACTTTGCAAATAAGTCCCCCTCTCTAATAAGTGGGGGGAGAAGAAATTCATCAAGCCACATCCCTGTCTTGTTTAAGCCCCCCCCCCCCTTCCCATCACAATACAAAATACACAGATAGCTGTATTTTTTAGTTAGGAAGCCCTCAATAAAATCTGTCACTGGGCCTCATTGGTACTAAATGGAAGGTTTAAGCTACATACTCCAAAACGGTATGTCGGTATGGTCATGTTTATATTCTTGTCATGTTATGTACCTATAGCTTTGGATGGAATTGCAGCAAGAAAACTGAATCAAACTTCTGCTTTTGGAGCTTGGGTAGGCTTTCTGGCTTCACTAAATATTACTTGAAATTGTTTTAGTAGGGCGCATTGGGGCACAATACAATTTAATAATAATATTTAAGACGTTTGTGATGTTACTCTGAGTGAATATCCACACCGGGCAAGCTTGAAAAATATGCCTGGTGGGAATCGAACCTACGACCTTTGGAATACTAGCCCAATGCTCTACCAACTGAGCTATGCAGTCAGGTCGGTTCGAGTATGTGATATTTCGGAACTGAGTCTAGTTCCTTCAATATCAATGCAATCTAGTAATCATGATTTTTTTCTGTGATGGTGTTATGATGTACTCAGGTGATTATGTTTGTGTCATACTCACCTGATGTGATGTTTGTGTTATGATGTTTGTGTCAAACATCATAATAACCTGAGAACATAACGCCATCACGGAAAAAATATTTAAGACTTACATTGCGCATTTTAACATTTAAATATGACCAAATGCGCATTACATTCCAATTCAGTAAATACAATGTACTAGATAAAATGAAATTACTTAGCTAAGATAACCGAAAATACAACCATGTGAAATAATTTGAAAACTCAATGAATTAGTTTTATATAATCTGGTAAATTGTTGCTACTATAATCTGGTAGATTGTTCAACGTCTTTGGCGCGCGGCTGTAAAAGATCTGTCCCCAAGACTAGAGTGCGCTTGAACTTGGCTGATGGGTCTCGCAAAACGTTTCAGTGTTAGACCTCATGCTATAGCGTGAACTCTGTCTAATGTTTATGAGATCATGTAAATACTCTGGGGCTAAATTGTGAATAACCTTGATGGCTTGAAGGTGATAACAGCGATTTTATAAGAGATTCTGTACCTTAGAGGCAGCCAATGCAAAGCATATAATACTGGCGTTACATATGGCCAAATCTTAACGGGTTAAACCATTAAAAATACACTCTCTCTTGGTTTTAGTTTGATGTAGTCATTGATAACGTTGGACGAGGAATGTTATGGAGCTTTATATACAAGGTCTCTCTAAAAGTTATATACTAAAACTGTCTGTACCAGTGTGGGTAGTACCAATGTGAAAATGCTGTGCTGAGTGGTTATATTACTACCTCAAAAAATAATTGTTTTGATCCTACAGCAAAACATAATGCGAGTGTAATTATACTTTGTTTTTTCTACAATATTTCTGCAAGAATATTTGCTAGCTGTGCCTTACTTCTGCAATCATTTTTTCAGTGGGGGTACTTTGTGAGTGCCTTGGAGTGGTTAGTATTGGTCTGTACTCACACATATGGTCCGACATGGAAGACAGCCGGAACTGACACCCCACCATTCTGGGTTAAAGCTGTTATGGCAAATAGTATGTACATGTATTATACTTTTTGTGTGTGTTGGTGTTATGTACTCAGAGGTGAATATGATGTTTGTGATGTTACTCTCTGAGTGTGCATCCACACCGGGCATGCAAGCTGAAAAGTTTGCCTGGCCACGGTGGGAATCGAACCCGCGACCTATGGGGATACTAGACCAATGCTCTGCCAACTGAGCTACGAGGTCAAGTCGGTTCGAGTTGGTGACAGGGTCTTAGCTAGAGGGCCGTGTTGGCCGTGTTATCGCGGCCAAAATGAGAGAACACGACTAGATAAAACGAACGCGGCTTCATTATTTATATAAGGCAGTATATGTTCATAAAATAAGGTGGTGCTACAGTACTTACAACAGACAGAATTTCTTTCTATTTACGTCGCAAGAAAGTTTGTAAAATCTACTGTAAGTTGTTGTTGAAATTGACAAAAGTGATCCGTGATGTTTTAATGTTTTGATGGATAATGGGAACCGTATGGTGTTAAATACCCCCAAGAGTTGCTGAAATAACTTAATATTTTAATATCAGTGCGCAATATGAGCGTATGCTCGCCTTGTATTTGGTTGCAAAGCATAGAACAACCACAGGCATTATCTGTTGTTGTAGAACCGTGAATTTGGCCATTCAAGGTAAATTTAGGTAATTGACATGTGTATACCCTTGGTCATTTAGAAACACGCCGAAGATCTAAAATCCTAGCTAAGACCCTGGTTGGTGATATTTCGGAACTATAGTTCCTTCGATATCAATAGTATGTATTGTTAACCTGCAGACAAGGGCGCTCTAAGCAACGTGAAGCGGCGAGGCAGCCATTCAAAAAGGGCACTTGCCTCTCGCGAGCCTTACTTTTTGTGGGTAGCAATGTTCGGTACAATTTTGCTGTATGGATACTTGATTACTTGTAGCCATTAAGTCTGGTTTCCATATGTCGTGATGGTCGTAAAAATTGAGTCACGATCTTTCTCAACGGTCAGTTTATAATAGTTTCTACCTGTAAACCACATAAATCATAAGTATTCTCTGGTACGTTCTAATCACTCCGCGTATTTTCAGTTCTAAAATGTTGTATTTCGGCTGATGAGAAAGATCGTGACTCAATCTTTACGACCGTTACAAGCATATCATGGAAGCCGAGGGGCCGGTTGTATAAAAAAGTGATTAAAGTTAACTATAGTTAGTGGAAACGTCATCCAATAAGAAGCGCGTATTTGAGAGTTAATCACTATTTAACTACAAAATAGTGATTAAAAATGTGATTAAGAGTTTTATACAACGGGCCCCAGGCTTTATAGTTGGACAAATTTCGGCATTGATTGGAACAATTTTATTCACTGCACGACGCTAAAGACTAAAGTGCGTTGTATATAAAACAACATGACAGCTTGTCAATTATTTAAGGAGGCTTTTAAAAAAATATTTTTCAGGAATTTCAGATTCAAATTTGAGCTAAATTGCTCGATTTCAATTCATGTGAATAACGTACGACTTTGAAGACAGCGTAGAAACCCCCGGTACTAAAAGAAATTAGGGCGGAAAGGAAATCACTTTCTTTCTTTCGAAAGAGTTTCGTTACTTGCATAAACGGAATACTAATGTAAATAGGCATAACCATGACTTATGAGTTTTCAATCAAATTTTTCATTCGTTGTTTTTCTTTTTTTTTCAGATTTCAGAACCGTAATTGGTTCATATGCTATTGCTGGATTGCATGTTCTGCCAATGTGGCTTTATGGTTTACAGAAATTGGAAATAATCTATACATGGCTTGGAAGCCAGGCAGTTGCTGGTATTACAGCTATCTTAGTTTCTGGGCGGCTCATTTGTGCGCTCGTCGAGGTAAAAATACTAGAATTTTCATATTGCACACAGACAAACTCGAGAAAAATATAACATTCGTAACAGTTCGTCTGTTTCATCCTTTGAGCTCCACTTCCATATTCACTACTCTTCTCAATTAACCATTCCGAAGTTGATGAGAGGACTGGGGACGAGTGTTAAAAAGTGCCCAAATTAAGAAATGAACCAAATAGCTAAAAAGACCACCTCAAAATTAGTAAGTATACAAAATTTGAAAACGTTTACATGAATACCTTTCGAATAATAAGCTTTCAAAAATTGTGAAATTACTGATTAAAAGATTGTTTTTGGGACGCGCGTCCCCAAAACAAAAATTACAATACATTTCATAGTAAATATCACGATTTTTGAAAGCTTATTATTCGAAGGATATTCATGTAAACGTCTTCAAACTTTGTATACTTACTAATTTTGAGGTGGTCTTTTTAGTGATTTGGTTAATTTCTTAATTTGGGTACTTTTTAACACTCGTCCCCATTCCACTCATCAACTCGGGAACGGCTAATACTAGATTCCCCTTATTACGTTTTCGTAGCGCTTTGCATTGTGGTTATAGTGGTATCACTGATAAAGATAGCGGCCTCGAATGAAAATATTGAATGTTTTCGCGAATATTTTGCAGTTGGCTATCGCGCACCTGACCCTAGCTTTTTTTAAAAGGTTCTTGCACTGGTCAGGACAAAAAATAAGCCATCTTGAATATCAGTGATACCACTATAACCACAATGCAAAGCGCTACGAAAACGTAATAAGGGGAATCTAGTATCCGACTTTTCTTTCGATGTTAACAGAATGCGCACTTGGAAAACCTACTGCTCTAAATGCCGTTCTTCCGGCAACTTAAGCTGTTGCTCATAAGGGACTGGTCATTATTTATGTCTGGGGGTGGCACCGAAGAGAAATGTTTTTCGTGGCAAAATTTTTGCTGACCCAACCATTAAAAAGTCAAAAATTTGATTACCCAACCTCAAATATCAATTAAAAAATAAATACCCACCCCTGGCTTTACAAAACTTTACAAAAGGATACCATTCAGTTGTGACACATGTCCTTTACCACTTCTGTGAAATT